GGGACTCAGGAATGTTGGCCAAAGGAAACAGCCCTTGCAGTGTGCCATGCATTTACATGTCTAATTCTGAGAATAAGTCAGAGAGCAAAGCACGTCCTTCCAATCCCGGTGAAAGATTTTTAACACAACGGGGAAGTCAGCGTTTGCAAAGCACTCCACACACCACAGTACATGCAGTGTGTATATGTTCCTATCAAACCTTTACTGGGCTTCTTGTGGCATGAAAAACAACTCTTTATATGCAAGACGTCATGTTCTCGCGCTCTTCCTAGGAATGTTAGACATTTCAGACTTCCGACAGACCACAGCTGCTCATGTAATGGAGAGAGAGAAAGAACTGTATGGTTTTGTAACCCATTATGTAATATGATATAAACAGGTTGTAATCACAGTAATCCTGGGAATTTGTATTGATTTATTCACACAACTGATTCTGCTGCATTTACACAAAGACAGCTGCTCTCCATGATTCCCCATAACTGCCAAAGATTTGGTGCACACCGAAATTTGAACTCTATTAATAAAACAGGGACTCCAGACCCAACCTGGGAATGACATTACTTGTTAGTCTTTAATTTATACATGACCAACCATCAGGGAGCACAAGAAAGGAACTGAATTAGAGAAGTTGCTTGACCTTGTGGGAAAGCTTTACATTGTTAAGGATCTACCAGAGACAGGTCTGCCTTTCCTTTTTAATAATTTATTTACGCTTGATCTGATGGGGAGTGGGACTCACACACAGTCTATGAATAACCTTTTATAACACTAAGGGCTTTCATTAGTTAGCTAACCACATTTGCCCCACGCAAATCTAGTATTCTGTTTTATTTTGCAAGTGATGAATCAGAAAATTGATGCTACACAATACGGTATTTCTGCTTCAGAAATTGTTCCCATCTCATATCCCTGTTTGTATTCTTTTCCTTCTGTCCCTCATTCTTGGCAAAAGTTTGCTTTCTGAGCCACACTGCAGAAGCTAAACTCTTACTCTGGATTTACATCACCCACACAATAATTGTACAATGTGCAGTAGAAACACTGGTCCGACCAGACACGGCAGTTCCTGTGGTCTATTTAATCCAGTTTCTTGTCTTGGGCAGCAGCCAGTATCCAATGCCTCAGAGGAAGGTGCAAGAAATCCTTTAATTTTGTCTATAGGGGAAGTTTCTTCCTAACCCCAGTCACTTAGAGGTTTTATACCCCCACTAGCTTTTTTCTTCAATATACTATCAATCTTCAGTGAAGATAAGAGGGAGAAATTTTGTCCTTTGGGTCTGTGTGCCATATTTGGGCTTTGGGACACTGTGAAGAACCCCTATATTTCAGGATCCCCATTTTGAGAAACAAGCTAGCACATGAGAGTTTAAATATTAATAAGTTGATCCGTGTCACAGGCCAAGGGAACTTTACTTCCTTGCAGGAAAAAGTAAAAAGCATCAAATAAAGTCAACTAAAGGTAACATTCTATTATAGTCATTAGTAGAATCTACTGTATGCACTGAATTTCCAATGGTCCTGAAGTTTCCCCTATGAAAAGCAGTACATATATGATTCATTCATATATTGGCCCAGGTTTCTGAGGTCTTCATATAATTCTCTAGGGTAAGATGACTGGGTGTTGCAATTTATCCAAGATGGCCCCAGGGTTAGGGAAGTAGTATCCTGGGCAAAGATAAGCTTGTCACAATCAGAGGCAGTGCTGCCAACTCATGATTTTTCACCAGCGACGTGACTTTAGCTAGGGCTCGAGCCACTCTCGCAATGACGTGAGAAGCTCCAGTCCTCAAGCGAATCTGAGCCTTCTCACTGGCTGCCCACTCCACTTGCCCACCTCCTGGGGCGGAATAACCAATCACAGCTGCTTCAGGCTCTCCCCCCCTTCTCCTTAGAACCTCCAACCTATTCTCCTAGCTGCCTCATTCTCCTCCCCTGCTAAGAGCTCAACAGCTCAGGGTGATTCCTCCCCTCCCCTCCCTTCCCCTCCCGTGAGCAATGTGGATAGGACGGTAATCCTCCCCCTCCCTTACAGCAGCATCCGGCCTGGGCAGGGAGCCAGGGGTATGTGACGAGCCCATGGAGTTGCCCCCCTCTCAGCCTGGAAAAGGATAGGGGACCCAACTGCAGCCCAAGCCTGGAAGAGAGAGTAAAATAACCCAGGATGAGCAGAGGTGGGGCTGAGGGGGGAAGAACTGAACTGATGGGGGTAGGCACTGGGTGGGGACATAATTGCTGGGCAGGATCTGGTCAGGTGTGGCAGTGAGAGCTGCTTCAGAAGGGGCCACAGTCACCTTACGCAATACATTCAGGAGAGCGAGCAACACCGATTGTCACCCACACACCCAGGATGGATGGGGCAGTTCACAAATCAAGAGAGACTGAAATTATTATAGTCTTTTTTTCTTTATTAAAAAATTGTG